CATCTAAGACGGCTAGACCAAGAATAGTGCAGAACAATATAGGGCGCGGAAGGTGGAGAGGATGCAAAAAATAGATCCTAACGGTGACCATACTGGGGCCTGAGACTACATTTTCACAGGGCGGCTCAACCCATTATGCAAAGTAAGCAATTGCAGTATAGTTGATTTTGCCCAGGGGCGCTCTTGAGGCACTCTTGGGGGAAAATAGACCTTGACATAGGCAAGTTGTAGTTACTGGGATGTATAGTTCACCTACAATCAAAGAGCATTCTGAACTCCACCAATGATGGAATTGAACCAAATATGGCACACAGAACTCCCACGACGAACAGAAAATATTTATCAGTGATTGGTGGTGGGGGTGGCACCAAAATACTGTTTGCTTACCATTGAAAATTACCTAGGGTCGCCTCTGCATTTTCAGGACCTATTAATGAACTATGAGAGGGACTGAGCAGAAAGATCATTATACTCAGAAATATATTTTTATTACTAAAACTGAACTGAGCTCATGAGTCTTTCCATATACAAACCCAAGCTTGGACACCTCCAGTCTCTGCTTTATTTACTTCAAGGTTATACATGTTTTGGAGTATCATTTTATTGTTGCAGAATGTAATCAACTGTAAGCAAGAAAACCTTGGCATTATACTGCAGTTTACCCAGAAGTCTATCCATAATCTAGATTCTGTTCTTGAATATGAGCTCCACAGGTAGAGGAACAAAGGCAGGCAGGACACCTTCTTTAATAATTCCCATACTCCCTTTACAGCCCCAAAGCCTAGGGATTTGGGTGGAAAGTCATCTACAAATCCCCTCCCAGCACTATAAACAACAACTGCTTTGAGTCTTGTTGAAGAAAGGAAAGCAGGGTATTAACAGCAACAACAACAGCCAAACATGTTGTAGTGTAGCCTTCCTCACAGGCATGGAACAATTGGCTACCATCCACACCACAGTTGCTGCATCAAGCCAGTTATCACTGCAGACAAATTTAATCATGAAAGTATATATTATATCTGTACCTATAATATCTATTTCACAGTAAAGATGTTGATTTAATAGGTTCAATAGTGCAAATATTTTTTGTATTGGGAAAATCAGAAATTGCCACAGGCTTTTGGAAAGCCTTTTGGAGATTAATTGGTATTCACACAATTTGGAATAATCATAATCTTTTGGAAAGGCACAGCCTTGTTAGAGATCGTAACCTTTTGTAAAGTATGATCTTCCTGAGAATCGTTAAAAACTCACTTGAGTCAATCTTCTCCTTAGTGGGAAATGTCCACTAGTATTGACGCAAGGCAATTCAGGTTTCTCAGCTGTTAGACTGATATCCCTGGCTGTCTCTTTGAACTGTTAGGAACAAAGCAGAGAATAATTTCAACTTTGCACAATATCACAACCAAATTTGATGCGATGAGCAAAAGTCTGATGACCAAGATTACCGAGGAGTCCCTACTTTTAATATCTGTGCATTTTTCACTATTCCTTTTATTATCCAGAACTTTGTCAAGTTGGCACAGTAGCAGGATGTATGCTTTGCATTCAATATATGATTGCAAAAAACAAACAAACATCAATCATTGGGAAATGTCTTTATTAAGGTAGTTGAAATGACACAAAGGTGCTCCAGCGTTCATGCTCCCCAAAACTCATTAGGCCAGGCAATAAAAAGCGAGAGGATGGAGAAGAAACAGGAGAGCGTTCAGCCAGGTTTCCTGGCCCTGAGGCTGGCAGCCAAATTTAGTTCCAAAATAGATCTTGCAGAAAGAATGAGTCACTAGTAAGTGGAAAGGTAATAGATTAGATTCAGCAATTTAAACGGAGATTGGAACTTCAAAGCAGTGCATGTTTTCTGCCTGGCTAGAAAATGCAGTTCATGACATCCAGCTGTTTCAATTTGACTGAGAGAAGCCTGATTAGTTTTCTCTGCTCTTAGTTGTTTGGTGGCCTTGAAAATATCCCAGAACTTTATTGCACAAGGGATGAAAGCCAGCATTGCACATCCCACCATGTGCATCCACCATGGCGTAATGCTATGGAATTGTAGGAGTTGAGATCTGGTGAGAGAAGGCTCAAGATCTTGTGAAACTACAGCTCCCATGACTCCATAGCATTGAGCCATGGCAGTTAATAGGGTCTCAAACGGCATCAATTCTACAATATAGATCAGGCATGAGCAAACTTAGGCCCTCCAGGTGTTTTGGACTTCAACTCCCACAATTCCTAACAGGTTTTTAACATTGTATAATATTTAAGGTGGAGAGACAGTTTGGTTTCGGATAAAAGTAATGTATTATTATTGTTAGCCACTTTTTCTCTCCAAAAAGCGAACAGAACAACAATATTTTAATATATTTTTGTCTGTTTTGAATTACATTGCTTTTAAAGTCATGATTTGCTTTGGAATTCAGTCCTGGACGAATAAATTATTATTATTATTATTTTAATAAATAAATAAATTATTATTATTATTATTATTATTTGAAACACAAGATGAGACCACAGCAGACACTGCTGGATTTTGTATTGGATCACACATTGGACACTTCCCAAGTGTCTAGGACTGTGTGATGTATCGGCGAATAATGCGTGCAGATCCCAGTAAGGTGGCCTTCTGCAGCTGGCAGAAGGTAATTTAGTCAGCGCCAATTGTCTTTAGGCACTGCACCCAGTGTGTCAATCACCAATGGGACCACCTTTACTGGTTTGTGCCAGTCTTTGCAGTTCGATCTTTAAATCCTCATATCATGTCAGCTTTTCTAGTTGTTTCTCTGCAATCCTGCTGTCATCTGGGATTGCGACATCGACGATCCATACTTTGTTTTTTAACACAATTGTGAGGTCAGGAGTCTTGTGTTCCAAAACTGTGTCTGTCTGAATCCAGAAGTGCCAGAGTAGCTTGACATCTTCATTCTCTGTAACTTTTTCCGGCTTGTGATCCCACCAGTTCGCAGGCAGATGGTATCTGTGGCACAAGTTCCAATGAATCATCTGAGCAACAGTGTTATGCCTCTGCTTGTAGTCTGTCTGCGCAATCTTCTTGCAGCAGCTGAGGATGGGATCTATTGTTTCATCTGCTTCCTTGGAGAGTCTACACTTGGGATCTGTTGTCAACTTCTCAATTCTGGCTCATTAATCTTATTATTAATAATTCCGGCAATAATAATAATAATAATAATAATAATAATAATAGATATATAACAAGATTAGTACATTGTAAACAAGATCACTATGCTGACTTTTTGTATTTGATCACACGTTGGACACTTCCCAAGTGTCTAGGACTATGTGATGTGTCGGTGAATAATACTTGCAGATCCAAGTAGGGCGGCCTTTTGCAGCTGACAGAGGGTGATCTTGTCAGCGCCGATTGTTTTTAAGTGCAGGCCAAGGTCTTTAGGTCTTTAGGTCTTTAGGTGCTGCACCCATCATAATGATGATGGTGATTACGTTAATGTTTGCATTTTTGTATAATTTAAATTGTATGCTAATTCTTTTATGTCAAGCTGCTTGGTGGCCGGGAGGGCCTTTGCACAATTAAGACTCGTGCGCCAACTACGACTGTACCTCGTGAAGGTGGATCTGGCCAGGGTGGTCCATGCCTTAGTCACCTCCAGATTGGACTACTGTAATGCACTCTATGTGGGGTTGCCCTTGAAAACGGCCTGGAAATTTCAATTGGTCCAACGGGCAGGGCGGCCAGGTTGTTAACCCTCCTGTTTAAGGAGCTCCACTGGTTGCCATTCATTTTCCGGTCCCAATTCAAGGTGCAGGTGCTTACCTACAAAGCCCTAAACGGTTTGGGACCCGCCTACCTGCGTGACCGCATCTCTGTGTACGAACCCACATGATCTCTTCGTTCATCTGGAGAGGCCGTACTCATGATCCCACTTGCATTGCAAGTGCAATTGGTGGGGATGAGGGATAGGGCCTTCTCGGTGGTGGCGCCTCGACTCTGGAACTCTCTCCCTAAGGACATCAGGCAAGCCCCATCACTGGCAATTTTTAGGAGGAGCTTGAAAACGTGGTTGTTCCAGTGTGCCTTCCCAGAATAAGGAAACTCCAAGCATTTTGTCCCCAACACACTTTATCAGAGATTCAGGATATCTGCAAACACATCCTTCTCCAAACACCTACCCTTTTCTCCTGGTCATGCCCAGCACTTTTTAATTTTAATTATTACATTTGGCCCTGTCATAGTTTTTAATTGCGTCATTGTGTGTTGTTAATGTTATTGCTTTGTTTTTGATTTATTTTGCTGTATTGTTGTTGTTGTTATTTTATTGTTGTATTTGGGCTCGGCCTCTTGTAAGCTGCACCGAGTCCTTCGGGAGATGGTAGCGGGGTACAAATAAAGCTATTATTATTATTATTATTATTATTATTATTAGGTTCTTGTGGGTTTTTTCGGGCTATAGAGCCATGTTCTAGAGGCATTTCTCCTGACGTTATTATTATTATTATTATTAGCATACAATTTAAAATATACAAAAATGCTAACATTAAAGTAGAATAAAACACAAGCAGCATTAAAAAAGTCATAGTTAAAATCCATCAAAGCAGTTTTAAAAAACCACAGGATATAAATAAAATAATAATAATAATAGTAAATAGTATACAATGACTTTCTAGCAATGTGCATAATAAAGTGTGTAGGAAACATTAATGAATTGATTATTTAGGCTCCCATTTGCACGAAAGCTCATTCTGAATATTACAAATATTAAATAATAGTTTGATATCCGAAATACTTCTGTTCTCAAGCATTTTGGATCAAGGGAGACTCGAGAAAGAAAAGAGTCTGGACATTCTCGCAGTCGTTTGGAGACCGGAAGTTAATATAGTCGGCTTTCCACTTTGTTCGTTTTACCTCTTTGCACAGAGGCTCCGCCCCTTTCGCCAACCGCCAATAGCGGACGCGGCGCCCGGTTGCCACGGCAACCAAAGGCGCTGCGTCCGCTACTGGCGGTTGGCGAGAGGGTTGCCGTGGCAACCGAATACCGCGTCCGTGATTGGCTGTTGGCGCAAGAGAGCTGAGGAAAGGAAGCCGCAGTGGCCATGGTGCGAAGTAAGCAAGCAACCATCTTTCCTGGAAGTTGTAGTTTCACAAGGTCTTTGGCCTCCCTTGGCCTTGAGGCATGGCAGTTGAAAGTGGCACCAAACTGCATTAATTCTACGGTGTAGCTGCATCTTCCTATGTATCTTGTATAGATATACATTGCAATACGTGTATTGGTGATATGTTGACAATGTGTATGTTTTTTTTATTATGTTTTTTTTTATTATTCTCCAGCCTGTATTATTCTCTGTTTTTTTTATTATTCTCCAGCCATGAAATACAATTGGAAGAGTTATTACCATCATATATATATATATATATATATATATATATATATATATATATAATGTAATTATATAATATAATAATTATATAATCCTTATATAAATATTATTATAATTATTGTAATGGAACAGCAGTGGTTTTTTATGTTTTTATGGATTTTCTCAGTATTGTTTTTAATACTAATGTTTTAATATTTAATAATATTGATAATATTTCATATTAATATATTATTAATATTTATTATTACTAATAATAAATATTAATACTAATAATAATAGTTTATATTCTAGCCGTCCCCTGCCACGTGTTGCTGTGGCCCAGTCTGGTGATCTGGAAAATAAAGTAATGTGAAAGTGTGGGTTTCTAATATATGTAATATTTTGTTGTTTCTTTGTCAGTGTTGATGTGTAGATGGTCTGGTTTGCCTACTTTGGAATATGGAACATATAATTGTCCTACTTTAGGGGTCCCTTTCAAATCTATGATACTATATCTGTGTGTGTGTGTGAATCATATATATCTATTAGGCTTGGGTAACCACGGAAAAATTTGGTTCTAAACTCGTTTTGTTTTTAAGGGGCCCTTGCGTTTCGTTTTTTTAAAAATAATTCCGAAATTTTCCTTTTAAAAATTTCGAAATATACGAAATTTCGTATAATTACGAATCGATTCGTTAATGGCGGACGCGATTGCGCAATATGCTAAAAAAAACCTCCAAAAAAAACTTCTGAAGCTTCCCTCTCCCTCTATTGTTGACTGTTGGTGTGATAAAACAAACCACAACTATAAAACTTGCACCAGACATGCCAAAATAATTACGAAATAATTACGAAGTAATTACGAAATAATTACGAAATAAATTGAAAAAATTGTTTCGAATCTAATTTACTCCTCACACTATTCCTGCATGGCTCAATATTGGATCGTAATCTAATTTAAATACGAATTAATAACGAATTACGAAATTAACAAACGAAACCGGCCAAGCCTAATAGTTTGTATATTTTAAATGGGATACCAATAATGAACGCATCTCCTCCTATGAACCAGTTAGGACATTAAGATCATCTGGGGAGGCCCTGCTCTCGATCCCGCCAGCTTCACAAGCACGCCTGGCGGGGACGAGAGACAGGGCCTTCTCAGTGGTGGCCCCTCGGTTGTGGAACGCCCTTCCTGCAGATATTAGATCGACCCCCTCCTTGCTGGCATTCCGGAGGAAAGTAAAGACCTGGCTGTATGAACATGCATTCGACTAAGCAGTGTGATTGATTGATTATCGGAACACGGAATATCGGATAACGAGTTTGGATTCTGATTTCATTGACGAGACCTGTTAGTTCTGCTGGACCTCTCTCAGTGGCCTTCGATACCGTCGATCATGGTATCCTCCTGGGACGCCTCATAGACATGGGGCTCGGGGGCACTGCCTTGCAGTGGCTCCGATCCTTTCTTGAGGGACGGTCCCAGAAGGTGTTATTGGGTGACACCTGTTCGGCCCCACAACCGTTGTTGTGTGGAGTCCCACAGGGTTCAATCTGTCCCCGATGTTATTTAACATCTACATGAAGCCGCTGGGAGAGATCATTCGGAGTTTCGGAATGAGATGTTATCTCTATGCAGATGATGTCCAAATCTGTCACTCCTTCCACCTGTCACCAAGGAGGCTGTCCAGACCTTGAACCGGTGCTTGGCTGCTGTGTCGGACTGGATGAGAGCTAACAAATTGAAACTGAATCCAGACAAGACAGAGGTCCTACTGGTCAGTCGTAAGGCCGAACAGGGCATAGGGTTACAGCCTGTGTTAGACGGGGTTACACTCCCCCTGAAGACGCAGGTTCGCAGCTTGGGAGTGATCCTGGACTCATCGCTGAGCCTGGAACCCAGGTCTCGGCGGTGGCTGGGAGAGCTTTTGCACAATTAAAACTTGTGCGCCAGCTGCGCCCGTACCTTGGGAAGTCGGATCTAGCCACGGTGGTCCACGCTCTTGTTACATCCCGATTGGATTACTGCAACACACTCTACGTGGGGTTGCCTTTGAAGACTGTTCGGAAACTTCAATTAGTCCAGCGGGAGGCAGCCAGACTGCTCACTGGAGCGTCATACAGGGAGCATACCACCCCCCTGTTATGTCAGCTCCACTGGCTGCCGATCCAGTTCCGAGCACAATTCAAAGTGCTGGTTTTGACCTACAAAACCCTATACGATTCCGGCCCAGCGTATCTGTCCGAACGCATCTCCCTTTACGTCCCATCTCGGAGTCTGAGATCCTCTGGGGAGGCCCTGCTCTCGACCCCGCCTCTGTCACAAGTGAGATTGGCGGGGACGAGGAGCAGGGCCTTCTCGGTGGTGGCCCCTCACCTATGGAATTCACTCCCCGGGGTGATTAGATCATCACCATCCCTCCTTTCCTTTAGAAGGAAACTGAAGACGTGGATTTGGGACCAGGCGTTTGGGCAATCTGGCAGATGAATAAGGGACTGTGACGACGGATAGGAATTGGACAATGGTGGAACGAAATATGAACTCTGAGTTGGCGAACGCTGTGTCTGAGATTGGCTATCGATTGTGTGATATATTGTTTTTAAGTGTTTTAATTGTTGATCATTTAATTGCTGGTTTTATATGTTATTGTATTTGTGTAGGCACCAAGATGTGCCTTTTGTAAGCCGCCCTGAGTCCCCCCTCGGGGGTTGAGAAGGGCGGGGTATAAGTACACGAAATAAAATTTGTTATATTGACGTAGTGATGTATTGGTATTGATGTTTAATGATTTGCGATGCTATTGTTTTTAAATGCTTAATGATTTTGTAATGTGTATACCTAAATTGTTGTAAACCGCTCTTAGTCGCCTAAAGGCTGAGAAGAGCGGTATACAAATAAAGTAAATAAATAAATAAATAAAAGCTTTAATATTTGTATATTTTAAATGGGATACAATGCTTTTATGTCAAGCCACTTTGAGTCCCCTTTTGGGAGATAAAGCAGGGTATAAATAAATACAATATATATTACTATGTTAATAATTATTAATATTAATTATTAATAATAAATATTAATACATATTATGATTATTATTATTAGTTTTAATATTTGTATATTTTAAATGGGATACCAATGCTTTTATGTCAAGCCACTTTGAGTCCCCTTTTGGGAGATAAAGCAGGGTATAAATAAATACAATATATATTACTATATTAATAATTATTAATATTAATTATTAATAATAATATTAATACATATTATTATTATTATTAGTTTTAATATTTGTATATTTTAAATGGGATACCAATGCTTTTATGTCAAGCCACTTTGAGTCCCCTTTTGGGAGATAAAGCAGGGTATAAATAAATACAATATATATTACTATGTTGTTGTTGTTCATTCGTTCAGTCGTCTCCGACTCTTCGTGACCTCATGGACCAGCCCACGCCAGAGCTCCCTGTCGGCCGTTACCACCCCCAGCTCCCTCAAGGTCAGTCCAGTCACTTCAAGGATGCCATCCATCCATCTTGCCCTTGGTCGGCCCCTCTTCCTTTTGCCTTCCACTTTCCCCAGCATAATTGTCTTCTCTAGCTTTGCTGTCTCCTCATGCTGTGGCCAAAGTACTTCAACTTTGTCTCTAGTATCCTTCCCTCCAGTGAGCAGTCGGGCTTTATTTCCTGGAGGATGGACTGGTTGGATCTTCTCGCAGTCCAAGGCACTCTCAGAACTTTCCTCCAACACCACAGCTCAAAAGCATCGATCTTCCTTCGCTCAGCCTTCCCTAAGGTCCAGCTCTCACATCCGTAGGTGACTACAGGGAATACCATGGCTTTGACTAGGCGGATCTTTGTTGCCAGTCTGATGTCTCTAGTCTTTACTATTTTATCGAGACTGGACATTGCTCTCCTCCCAAGAAGGAAGCGTCTTCTGATTTCCTGGCTACAGTCTGCATCTGCAGTAATCTTTGCACCTAGAAATACAAAGTCTGTCACGGCCTCCACATTTTCTCCCTCTATTTCCAGTGGTCAATCATTCTTGTTGCCATAATCTTGGTTTTTTTGACGTTTAGCTGCAACCCGGCTTTTGCGCTTTCTTCTTTCACCTTGATTAGAAGGCTCCTCAGCTCCTCCTCGCTTTCGGCCATCAGAGTGGTGTCATCTGCATATCTGGGGTTGTTAATGTTTCTTCCAGCAATTTTCACCCCAGCTTTGCATTCATCCAGCCCCGCACATCGCATGATGTGTTCTGCATACAAGTTAAAAAGGTTGGGTGAGAGGATGCAGCCTTGCCGTACGCCTTTCCCAATCTTGAACCAGTCTGTTGTTCCGTGGTCAGTTCTGACTGTTGCTACTTGGTCCTTGTACAGATTCCTCAGGAGAGAGACAAGGTGGCTTGGTATGCCCACCCCCACCAAGAACTTGCCACAATTTATTATGATCCACACAGTCAAAGGCTTTAGAATACTAAGCAGAAGTAGATGTTTTTCTGAAACTCCCTGCCTTTCTCCATTATCCAGCGGATATTGGCAATCTGGTCTCTCGTTCCTCTGCCTTTTCTAAACCCAGCTTGAACATCGGGCAACTCTCGCTCCATGTATTGCTGGAGTCTTCCTTGCAGGATCTTGAGCATTACCTTACTGGCATGAGAAATAAGGGCCACTGTACGGAAGTTTGAGCAGTCTTCACATTTCCCTCTTTTGGTATGGGTAATAATAAATATTAATACATATTATTATTATTATTATTAGTTTTAATATTTGTATATTTTAAATGGGATACTAATGCTTTTATGTCAAGCCGCTTTGAGTCCCCTTTTGGGAGATAAAGCAGGGTATAAATAAATACAATATATATTGCTATATTAATAATTAATAATGATATATTAATAATAAATATTAACACATATTATTAATAATGATAGTTTTAATATTTGTATATTTTAAATGGGATACCAATGCTTTTATGTCAAGCCGCTTTGAGTCTCCTTTGGGGAGATAAAGCAGGGTATAAATAAATACAATATATATTGCTATATTAATAATTAATAATGATAGTTTTAATATTTGTATATATTAAATGGGATCCCAATGCTTTTATGTCAAGCCGCTTTGAGTCCCCTTTGGGGAGATAAAGCAGGGTATAAATAAATACAATATGCATTACTATATTAATAATTAATTATTAATAATAATTAATGTTATTATTATTAATAAATATTAATACATATTATTAATAATGATAGTTTTAATATTTGTATATTTTAAATGGGATACCAATGCTTTTATGTCAAGCCGCTTTGAGTCCCCTTTTGGGAAGATAAAGCAGGTTATAAATAAATACAATGTATTGTCGAAGGCTTTCATGGCTGGAATCACTGGGTTGTTGTAGGTTTTTCCGGACCAGGCTATATGGCCATGTTCTAGAAGCATTTTCTCCCGACGTTTTGCCTGCATCTATGGCAAGCATCCTCAGAGGTAGTGAGGTCTTTTGGAACTAGGAAAAAGGGATTATATATCTGTGGAATGACCAGGGTGGGGCAAAGAACTCTTGTCTGCTGGAGCTAGGTGTGAATGTTTCAACTGACCACCTTGATTAGCATTTAATGGCTTGGAAGTGCCTGGGGGAATCTTTTGTTGAGAGGTGATTTGATGTGCCTGATAGTTTACTCTCTGTTGTTTTGCTGTTGTAATTTTTGAATTTTTTAATACCGGTAGCCAGGTTTTGTTCATTTTCATGGTTTCTTCCTTTCTGTTGAAATTGTCCACATGCTTGTGGATTTCAGTGGCTTCTCTGTGTAGTCTGACATGGTGGTTGTAGAGTGGTCCAGCATTTCTGTGTTCTCAAATAATATGCTGTGTCCAGGTTGGTTCATCAGGTGCTCTGCTATGTGTTGGGGTTCAGGTTTGCAGTGCCTTTCATGTTCCTTGATTCGTGTTTGGACAATGCTGCATTTGGTGGTCCCTATGTAGACTTGTCCACAGCTGCATGGTATACGGTAGACTCCTGCAGAGGTGAGGGGATCCCTCTTGTCCTTTGCTGAACGTAGCATTTGTTGGATTTTCTTGGTGGGTCTGTAGGTGGTTTGTATGTTGTCTGACCAGAAATACCTCTGTCTTGTCTGGATTCAATTTCAATTTGTTTGCCCTCATCCAGACCATCACAGCTGCCAAGCACTGGTTCAGGACCTGAACATCCTCCTTAGTAGTAGGTGGAAAGGAGTGACAGTTGAACACTTTGATAGGATTTTAGAAGAAGTGATGGCTCTGGAGAAGAGGAGCATGGGGATGAGGGAGAATAAAGGGGGGGGGGGATATATACTCATAAGTTTGATGAACTTATGTTTTATGTATGTGTCTATATATTTGTAAAACAGCAAATAAATAAATAAATAAATAAAAAGTTACAAACAAGATAGGTTCTATGTGTTGTCGAAGGCTTTCATGGCCAGAATCACTTGGTTGCTGTGAGTTTTCCAGGCTGTTTGGCTCTGTAGGTTTGCTCTTAACTTGAATTTGTTTGTAAGTTGGAACATGTCCATTTTTCAAGTATAAGTCCAGCTCCCCCTCTCTCTATATGTATGTGTGTGTGTATAAAAATAAAAGTTTTGGATAGCATAGGGAAGGGTTAACACCCCTGTGCTGTTGTTTTGCTGCCTATACCCTGGTTCAGAAGATTTCATTGCACTTTATGTCACTGTGATCATTAGATTTTGAAAAAAATGGCTTGTTGTGGAAACAAGAATTGGGGATAAACCTTCAGTGGAAACACTTTTCCCCCATGATAATAACTCCTCCACTCATTAACTTCCCTTCCTTAGGGGTAGATTTCTCTCACATTCTGTTGTCTCACCCCTGTTCTTAACTCTGAGTCATTTGCAAGTCAGATGTTTGTAACTCAGGGACTGCCTGTATTATGATCTCTTTTTGCAGTCACAGAAGAACTCGTCAGGCAGCGATCGGAGCATAACAATTGTGAAATTTTTTCCTTGGAAGAAATCTCCTTGCACCAACAGGATATAGAGCGAATAGAACACCTGGACAGATGGTGCCGGGATTTGAAAATCCTCTATCTCCAAAACAACCTCATACCTAAAATTGGTAAGCATGCTTGTTTAGGAACTGAATTTATAATTTATCTTTTCATGTACTGAAAATGGTCTAAAGCTGGGCTGGACAACTGTGGAGGCTTTGGGAACCATTTTTCAGTCCATGGAGGCCATTGAGCTCTTACTATTTATTTTTAATAGTTCTGTGTATTTGATTCTATTTTAGTGTTTACATGTTTAATGTTTTATATCGTGCAATGTATTGTTTTTAGTATAGTTAGCCACTTTGGTTTCTTTAAAGAGAGAAACATATAATGATATATATAGAAAACGTCAGTGTATATGAATGTATGCTAGTTGGTTGGTTGGTACCTCAGTGATGCCTACAAAGGAAGGAAGGAAGGAAGGAAGGAAGGAAGGAAGGAAGGAAGGAAGGAAGGGAGATAGAAAGAAAAACTAGGAAAAATAAAGAAAGGGAGAAGCAATGGGGGAAGGAAGTGGAAGAAAGAAGAAGGAGAGAAGGAAGATAAAACGAAGGGTAAAAGGTATGGGGAAGGGAATGGAAGAAAGAAAAAAGGAGAGAAGGAAGAGAAAACAAAGGGTAAAAGGTATGGGGAAGAAAATGAAAAAAGAAAAAGGAGAGAAGAAAAAAGAAGGAAGAAAAAGGAAAGAAGAGGGGCGAAGGTGTATGAGAGAAAGCAAAGAAAGACAGGAAGAAAAGTGGGAGAGACAAGGTTAATGAGGGAAAAAGAGGAATGAAGGAAAGAGCCTTGAAAGAAAATGAATATTTAGCCAAGTATATACTCTAGCAATAACAACAATGCCCAAATTGCCAAAAAGAGATGGGAGGGGGATGGCCAGAAGTCTATACATTATTTAATATTTTTTTTTGCTAATCTGGATTTTTCAGTCCAGTTCAAATCAAATAATGTGGATTTTCTTCTTTGATAATCTGTATTATCTGGCAATGCATGAGGGGCCTGAGACAGATAAAAGCCTGAATTCTGTCTTGCTCCTTATGTGGTTCAGTGAAGCAGACACCCATGAGCTCCAAGAATTATAGGGCCGATGGCAAGAGACAATTTCTCTAATCCTACTGCTGAGATCCAGTCATATTGTGAGGATTGCTATCACAATCCCTGATTATTTTTTGGACTGAATTCAGTCTCCGGTCATCTGTGTTTTAGGTAGAGAAGGATTGTTTGGTTTAATCCACTGAAAACTTGCAATTACGAGGCATTCTCTTCACTTAGCTCAATGCAAATCTTTTTAGATTTTAGCTTGTTAGGTTTTTTTGTCTACAGTTCACTAACTGATATTTTGTCTACAGTTCACAAATTCTCTGCCTTGGTTTCTGCTTAGTTGTTATACTTTTAAAAATTACTGTATGAGTGTACAAGTTGGAAATGTTAAATATATCCTTACAAATTAACAAATATAGCAATTATTTTTTCAGAAAATGTTAGCAGATTGAAGAAGCTTGAATATTTAAACATAGCTTTAAACAATATTGAAAAAATTGAAAATTTGGAAGGTAAGATCTTTGTTTTCTAAAGGAAGCTTCTATTAGTTGAGAAGTGTGAGAAGGATATACATGTCCTAAGTGCAGCATAATATTACTGGAGGAAAACAATGTGTTTTCATAGCACACCTGTCCTTGTTTTTTGAGCAACTAGTTTGACAGCAGGTTCCACAACTGGAAACTATGAAAGATTCATTATGTGGTGCAGAATATGAATTTATGGTGGGTAAAGCGTACGATGTAGTTTTTATGCAGGGCTTAGCTTCTTTTTGTACAGGTCTAGTTCCTATTATATTACAAACCATCCATAAAAAGTGTCAAGAGTGAACTGCTTCCTGAAGCAGTGTTAGACCTTAAAATAGCTCCAACCCGTCAAAAAATTTTCTTTAAATCATCTGGTGGAAAATGTTGAAAAAAGAGGAAGTGACTTTGTAATTTTGCTGTTTCTGTCCCTGCTGTAGGTGTTTGACGTGGCAATTACTGTATGTACTCATGTATAAGTTGAACTCATGTATTAGTAGAGTGTAATTTTGGGGGCCAAAATTATGGGTATTGATATGACGTGAGGATGAGTCAAGGATCATTCTGGAGAGAGGGGAAAGTACCAACTCCACCTCAAAGACTTTAATTAGCTTTTCTTGTATCCCATGAGTAAGGTGGGGTATAAATTCAATAAAAAATAGACGCGTTTTAATATCTGTTATTTCTGTCCATAAAATAGATGTACGTTGCACTTGTGTCCCATAATGGCATGGAGCTGAATATATGTACTCTTTAAATGCAGAATTAATAATAACAGTATTTTAAACCTCTCACATTTTCCAAACAGGTTGCGAAGACTTGCAGAAACTAGACCTGACAGCTAATTTCATTGGAGAGTTGTCCAGTATCAAGGATCTGAAAAATAATATCCACCTTAGAGAGCTTTTCCTTATAGGCAACCCATGCACAGATTTTGAAGGTTATAGACAATTTGTGGTGGCTACACTTCATCAACTCAGAGTATGTCAAAGTTGAAATATCACTGGTAATAATCCCTCCTTTGTTCCAAGGATGGAGTTTGGAAGTCAGGATAACATACTGCTGATGCCTTGCTTTTGGGATAATGAAATTGGCAATGTTGTTTCTTTTAAAAAGCAAGAGAGTGATTGCTGTACTTTAACGTTGGAATTTTAGGCCATTTTACATTACATATAATATAAAATGCATTGTATATAATTTAATATAGTTAAAATAATATGAGTAGTGTAATATGCATTATATACCGTATATACTCGATTATAAGCTGAGTTTTTCAGCCATTTTGAAGGCTGAAAAAGCCCCCCTCGTCTTATACTCAGGTGAAGGACCTAGAGGGAGGGTGTGGGGCTGAAAGAAGGGCTTCTTGCAGCCTCACGCCTTCATGTCAGGAAGCTCACCTCTCCACACAGCAACCCAGGTCTCCTTCCTTTCCTCCTTCCTCGCCCCACGTGCACTTCTCCTCTTCCCTTGTCCCGTGCACGCGTCTCCTCCTCCGTTGCCCCGTGTGTATTCTCCTCCTTAATCCCGTGCATGCTTCCTCTCTTCCTCCTCCTTCACCCTGTGTGTGTTTTCCCACCCCACGCGCGGTATTCCTCCTCCTCCCTTGCCCCATGCACAATTCATCTCCTCCTCCCTTGCCCCATGCTCGCATTCCCTCCTCCTCCCTTGCCCTGCACATCCTTCCTCTTGTCCTCCTTCGCCCCATGTGGGCTTCCTCTCCTCCCTCACACAGTGCGTGCTTCCTCTCCTTCTCCCTCACCCCTTGCATACCTCTTCACTGCCACTAAGAATCTCAGTCTTCCTAGAATCTAGGCAGACTGGGATTTGGCTACAAGGTGAAGGATTGTGGGGGATTCGGGTAATTGTAGTCTAAAGAAAGCAGCTTTCTTAACTGCTGACAGATGCATTTGGGTGACTGGCAAAGTTAATGTGCCCACATTCAGCTCACAGCAAGAGAGCAAATGGACTCATGGAGACAAGGAATTCCAGAGAAAAACATGGCAACACTCCCAGATACTTATTATTATTATTATTATTATTATTATTATTATTATTATTATTATTACATTTATTATTTTACTCTATTTATTATTTTTGGAAGGATATGTAAAAAATATTTACATTGAAGAAGGCTAGAATAATGATTTAATCAGAGTTTAATCACAGTCATACATTAAATTACAGTTTTCTGTAAATATTCAAAAATATTTGACCTACTGATATCTCAGTATAATTTTATTGGTGTCTATTTTTATTTTTTGAAATTTACCAGTAGCTGCTGCATTTCCCACCCTTGGCTTATATTCAAGTCAGTAAGTTTTCCCAGCTTTTTGTGGTAAAACTAGGTGCCTCATCTTGTATTCGGTTTGGTTTTTACTCGAGTATATACGTGTGTAGCTAGAATTTCTTTTTAACAATGAGTGACGTAGGTTATTTTTTCAATAGGAAGAAGTCCCAGTATTAACAATAAAAGAAATCATCCTTGTCTGTTTCAGCATATGGATTTGAGGAAGAGTGGAAACCTAGCAGTGTCATTGAGATGGATTTAATTTAGTGCAAAGTGTCTTGAAATCCCTAAAGGCTCATGCTAAAACCAATTTTTCTCAAGGATGCTGCTAAATTCCTTCTCCTCGCCTTTCTAAATTTTGGAGAGGGTGGGAGGAGAAAGGCAAGGTAGGGATTGCTTAATTACTTTTATCAATAATTTTCAGAGCTCTAGTCAGCAGTTGGAAATTACTCATCCAACAGAGTAATGCAAGATACAGATAAGCATTTATCACACAATGTAATTACAGTGCAACATTTAATTGATTCATCCTTTAAATTCATCCATTAAGAAACTTTTAAGCTGTGGTTGTATATTGTTTGGACTAAGCCCATCAAAATTCATGTAACTTATTTCTCAGAAGATAACTAAAAATACCGAAGAACTAGAAAAATCAACAAGAAATGTGCCTCTGTTTAATAGGCAGCAGATTTATATATGTGTGAATGTAAACAGTGGGTCCATTGTATCCATGGGATTTGATTCCTGGACCCCATAGAGATTGAAAACAACATGGATGATCATGCCTCCTACTATTAAATGGCAGTGATGGGAAGCTCATACTCCAGCATGACCATGTTTACATGACTTCTATTTAACAATATGGGGCTTCACAATCTGTAGTCAGTGGGAATTGCTGATCCAGAGAGTCCACTATATACACTAGTGATTCCCAAAATGGGCATTACCATCCCCTGGTGGGCGCTGCAGCGATTGGGGGGGGGGGAGCAGTAATGGCCACAGGTGCACTTGAGGGCGATGAATAACTGTAAGGGGGCAGTGAAAGCATAAAAGAAAGAAAAAAAGATTTAGAAAAATTGATTTCCAGGGGGTAGGCCAAATAAGTTTGGGAACCGCTGATATACACAAATGTTTATTCATACACAAATACTGTGCACCATCCCGAAAGGTGTCTGAGCTCCTTGTTAAAAATGGAACTGCTGCAGTGAAAAAAAGCAACATTCTAGTCTATGGTTTTAGCCAAATAAAAATCCAGTCACTTGATTGATCACAACTCACATGATTGATCAATATTTTTATTTGATAGACAACCCTTAAATTATTGTGATGTCTGCTTCCCATGTAAAGAAAGAGAATAGCCAAAGGCCAATATTTGTGATTATCTTGTTGTTGACACTGGCTAACTCTCTTTTAATTTAGAAAATGCATTGTTGAATGTACAGGATCTTGTAAGTTCTTGAAGTCAAGTCCTACTCAAGACACAAGGCACTAAACTTTATGGATATGAAATTGGAAATTATTGGAAATTTTCACAGCCTTATAAAAGTAATTTAATAGCAATGTTGAATACAAGATGTATTTGTGCTTTTATTTAATTTCTCTTTCCTTAGGTTTTGGATGGCAAAGAGATAGAACGTTCAGAGAGGATTAAGGCTTTACAGAACTTAGCTGAGATAGAAAAACAAATCCAAGAACAGGAGCAAGCCTATCTTCTCAAAAGAAGAAAAGAAAAAGAAGAGGCTGAAAAACAGATGCAAGAAAAGAAAGAGAAGAAGCTGAAGCAGAAGAAACATAATTTGGGAGTTCATGGACAACGGTGCACAGATATCAGTGCCACCAAGTATGTGCATGCATCTGTTTATTTGTGTGTGTGTGTGTGTGTGTGTGTGTGTATGTATATATAATATGTTCTGGCAGGAAAACTACTTAGCATATCACTAACATCAGGATGTCACACATTTCTCTAAAACTGGAAATCTGTTAGGGCACTAGCATAAAACTAGTATCACTCGTGTAATACTTCCAGTTGTTCTGCAAACACACATAAGGTCCTGCTTCTTGCTTAGAACATGATGTATGGGAAGCTAACTGTTTGTTTACATTTTTCTTCCATATTTATCTGACAATCTTACCAATTATATAATCTCCATGGGCTGTGCTTACACTAATATCAAGATGGTTTTGTAGTATGTGTCCAGAATACTGGATACTGAATTTGCCTAGGTCAAAGTAATCTATGGTTGAATAAATATCTGGATTATGATTTCAGAAAGAAGGAAGCTGGAGGAATAAAAAGGAGTAGCATGGTGGACAAACTGCTCAAATCAAAAAAGTTTATAAATAATTTGCTGTGTCGCTTTTGTTTTTGGACTTTTGAGTTGATATGTCTAAACAATGATGATAGTAAAAAAACCCAAAACCCCGATTTACTGCATAAGATCATTAGGCAGTGAAGACAGCTTCTTGTATATCCCTTTAATTGTAGGTCTATTTTGTGACTAGTACAGCCAGAAGACACATGCAAAGGAATCATGATGGAAATATAGTAGCATGTAAAAAAAGTTCAGATTTGTTCAGAATGCATAAACAGTCTGCAAAAATTATTTTTTCAGCACTTTGAATTTCTAAGAATATAATTCATTTGTTTTCCAGTGGTATAAACATGCAGCCTTAGCTACAACTGTTATGATGAAAAGTGCACAAAAGATATTTGTCTCATTTGAAACCTCTCTGTCTGGGATATGACTCATTAGTTGATGAGGGAAATTCATGCCATTGAAATTAACCATTTTCATTAAGGGAGGGGACTTTGTGGCCAAATGGACTCAATTCGGCATTTCAGCCATGAGTGAGGTGCACTCTATGATCTAAATCAGTGGTTCCCAACCTTGTTTTGACTAGGGACCACTTTGACCAGGGACTACTTGACCAGGGACCAATTTGATCCGGGACCACTCACCAACATTAGTACCAAAAGAGTTATGAATGAGTTTTTGGTCAACTTTAGATTCAGTTTGGGGTGCTGGTTCAAAAAATTGCACTGGATAGAGCACATCAGCTCTATTTTCTGATACAGAACATATCCCATGGTCAGTGGCAGGCAGCGCGAAAGGAGTGGAAATAAATAAAATTAAATAAATAAAGAGGAAGGAGGCTTGCAGTCCAGATTTTTGTTCTTGCAGCACACTGGTGGTCTGCGGCTCACAGGTCAAGAAGCACTGAGATAGAGATAGATAGATAGATAGATAGATAGATAGATAGATAGATAGATAGATAGATAGATAGATAGATAGATAGATCAATTACCCTTGTTTCAAGGGTAATTCTTTTGTGTATTGTTTTTCAGCTGCTATTCTGTAGAAGGGAGAAATAAGCACCAGGAAACTAAAGAAGAAAACAAAGACTATGAATTGATGATGGAAAATGATGATGATGAAGAAGAGAGAGCCTTTTGGGAGGAACCTGTGCCTCATACTCCAGAGGCTAGATTAGAAGCTCACAGATATGTTGAAGAAAAAAAGAAAGCCAAAGAAAATAGGTAATGGAGCTTTCCCTGTGTTTCTTGAATGGTAATCCTCCCAAAGAATCTAATCTTGATTTTCTTTAAAACAGAATACCAGATCTGTATAATACTTCTCTTCTTCTCTGTGTGCCTTTCATGGCCGTATTTTAGAAGGCTTAAAGTGTTTTGTAATCCAAACAGCCTTTACAGATACTGACTGTGTCAATGTTCCTGTTGGAAGCTTCAGGGGCTCACAGGCTGTGATAGTTGTGGCAATGGGAGAATTAAGCTGGTAGATGGGCACAGATGAGGGCACCCAAGGTCATTGCACGTAAATGTTGAAAAGTGACTCTGTTGTAGCAAGCAACAGTGCATTCGTTCGGGAGCTGGGATGTTTGCTAAGCTGTTTATTCATGAGCAACTCTTAACTGAATTAGAAGTGTTGACATAATCAAAATATGCAAGCAGAAGCCTTTCTGAAGGAATTGGTACATATATGGCCACATACACTCCCGCATTGTTCAGAAAATCTCTTCCAAATCTCAGTGGGAGATGCTTTTTAATCCATTAAGGACTGACCCTGGGACTATCTATAGGGAAAACAAGTGCTCTTTAATAAATAATATATTTTTTATTTGTATGCTGCCCTATCTCCCCAAAGGGACTCAGGGTGTTTCCAACATGTAAGGCAAACATTCAGTAGCCAGAAAGAAACCATACAGACAATTACATCAAAATAAACACATTCAATAATATAACACAACCTTACTTAGGCAATCCCTCGTACTCTGAGGATGATGGTGCTCCAAGTTCGGTGTGCTGGCAGTGGGTTAGTAGATGACCGTGGAGCCCTATTTTTGAACTGCATCTTCTCCCGCAGTGAAGGCATCAGTTTCCAGCTGGAAGGCGGCCCCGGTCGGGGTTGGCTTGACGTGCCTTCCTCTTGGCACGTTTCTCTCTTTCGCCCTCCATTCGTGCCTCTTCAAATTCTATAGCACTGCTGGTCACAGCTGACTTCCAACTGGAGCGCTCAAGAGCCAGGGCTTCCCAGTTCTCAGTGTCTCTGCCAGAGTTTTTAAGGTTGGCTTTGAGCCCATCTTTAAATCTCTTTTCCTGTCCTCCAACATTCCATTTTCCATTTTTGAGTTCGGAATAGAGCAACTGCTTTGGGAGACAGTGGTTGGGCATCCGGACAACATAGCCAGTCCAGCAGAGTTGATGGCGGAGGATCATCACTTCAGTCCTGGGGGTCTTTGCTTCTTCCAGTACACTGGCATTTGTCTGCTTGTCATCCCAAGAGACTTGCAGGATTTTTCGGAGGCAGCGCTGATGGAATTGTTCCAGGAGGTGCATGGGACGTTTGTAGGCTGTCCATGTCTTGCAGGCGTATAACAGGGTTGGGAGCACAATAGCTAACAAGCGCCTTGGTATCCCTACGGATGGGCCCTAAGTCATGAAAATGCAAGCAGCTGGATAAGCACTATCACAACAAATAATCTAGTTAGCATGTGATTTTAATGTGTCTTTGCATAAAACATGCCTCTGTCCACGAATGAGACCCAACTTTATTCCCCCTTATATTCAGAACAAATTATTGGGTTTAGGGCCCTTCCACACAGCCATATAACCCAGAATATCAAGGCAGATAATTCACAATATCTACTTTGAACTGGGTTATTTGATTCCACACTGTCATATAACCCAGTTCAACGCAGATAATGTGGAATTTTCTACAGCTGTGTGGAAGGGGCCATAGAAGTACTCAGTGCATTGTCTTTTTCACCATTACTTCAGTTGCTTCAAAGTTCTAATTACAAAAATTCTCTAGAAGTATTGACTAATGCCAGCCTTGTTACTATCATTGCCTACCACGAGTTTGCACATAATGGAGTCTAGCAGAAATGTTTCTAGAATAGCATTAACATATGAACATTGAAGTTCCACACATCCTGGTTTTAATTATACCCCCTTGGAATTAGGTTTCATTAAAATCTTATGCTTAAGATCATGAAGTTAGATAAATGTTATGTGGGACATGGCAAGGCCTCATCATTTGGTCTGGCATTCAGTCCAAATGATGAGGAATTCCAGTTGAGTGTAATTTTACTTTATTTGTTTTTCTAATGTGAAGTGACTCATCAGGTATGTCCTTGAAGTGTTAAAGTGAATGCTTTTGTGCTTTAATAAAAAATGAAATTACACCTGACAGGCTTTTTCCTGTTTTTCTATTCCTATCTTTACTGCCTCACAGAAGGGATAAAAATGCAAAAAATAATCTAACCTGGAAACTATTTTTCTTGCTTTTTTGATAGAGAACAACTGAAGAAAGAGAAGCAACCAAGGACTTTGATAACCCCTGAAGGAAGAGTTCTGAATGTAAATGAACCTAAGTATGTTAAAAATGTTTTACCTAGAGTAAACTTTGTCAGAGCAAAATCAACAATTCATAAATTATTTTGATAATTTATAAGAAATTGATGGTTGTGCCAGACACTGACCAAATACTATGACCTAAATTAGAAAAATATATGGTTATACATACAGACAAATGTTTTCACAAATTTTCTTTAAATTCAAATACTCATTTCTCTTTTTTGGAGAATCAGGATTTTAAGAAAGGTCTAAGTACCAACTTTTATGTTGGTTGAGTAGAATTAATGATGTCACCTTTGCTACCCTTTATATTCATTTTTAAAAGAATAATTCTCATCATAGATAATATACCATTTTATTTCTACAAAATGGATGATTTATATGCATCGTACTTCAACGCTATGAGGAGAAAGGCAAACAATGGCAAGACAGAAATATTGGTGTTTACCTACATTGTCTCACAAGACAAGCACTGTTCTATCGATTTCTTCAAGTTGTTTAAAATGTGTTGGCAGCTGTACAAAAAACCAGGAGTAGCTTGCTTTTGTGAGACCGACAAGTATGTAATACCTTAAAATGTTTGTTGACAGATTAGACATATGGTTCTGAGAGTTACAGACAGATTAGAGAAAGCTTCCAGGGCCACAGGGACTTGTGTTGTCAATAGCTACTGGATGATATACACTATTATCCTCCTTCCATGAAGTCATGCTGAAGGTCTGAGCCACAACTTTCCTTCATGACATAATTGCCTCTAATGAACTCTGATAAACACTACCCGTGAGGATACCATGCATGTGACAATTTGGTAACTTCTCCCAAATCACAGTAAGTTTCATTTAGGGTTTCTATGAGTTTTCCGGGCTGTATGGCCATGTTCCCCAAGCATTCTCTCCTGAAGTTTCGCCCACATCTATGGCAGACATCCTCAAAGGTTGAGAGGTCTGTTGGAAACTAGGCAAGTGAGGTTTATATATCCATGGAATGACCAGGTTGGGAGAAATAACTCTTGTCTGTTTGAGGCAGGTGTGAATGTTGCAGTTGGCCACCTTGATTAGCATTTGATGGCCTAGCGGTTTCAAGGTCTGGCTTCTGACTGCCTGGGGGAATCCTTTGGTGGGAGGTGATCAGCTGGCCCTGATTGCTTCTTGTCTGGAATTCTCTTGTTTTTGAGTGTTGTTCTTTATTTACTGTTATGATTTTAGAGTTTTTAATACTGATAGCCGGATTTTGTTCATTTTCATGGTTTCTTCCTTTCTGTTGAAATTGTCCACATGCTTGTGTATTTCAGTGGCTTCTCTGTGTAGTCTGACATGGTAGTTGTTAGAGTGGTTCAGCATTTCTGTGTTTTCAAATAATACGTTGTGTCCATGTTGGTTCATCAAGTGCTCTGTTATGGCAGATTTCTCTGGTTGGATTAGTTTACAGTGCCTTTCATGTTCCTTGATTCATGTTTGGGCATTGCTGTGTTTGGTGGTCACTATATAAACTTGTCCACAGCTGCACGGTACATGGTATAGACTCCTGCAGAGGTGAGAGGATCCCTCCTATCATTTGCTGAATGTAGCATTTGTTGGATTTTTTAGTGGGTCTGTAGATTGTTTGTAGCTTGTGTTTCTTCATCAGCTTCCTTTTGAGGTCAGACCCCTCAACCTCTGAGGATGCCTGCCATAGATGTTGGCGAAACGTCTTGTTTTTTCTTCATGCTTACAAGGGATTTGTACATGTTTCTTCAATGATCTATGCCATGTAAAGTGACCTTTAAAGTGAACTGTGATGTGACATGGGAGTTGTGGTGTTGTGGATCTGCTGTTCAAAGCAAAGTTGGCCCAGCGTACCTGTCCAAACGTACCTCCTTCTATGTCCCACCTCGGAGTTTAAGATCTGCTGGGGAGGCCCTGCTCTTGGCCCCACCTTTATCCCAAGCGAGACTGGTGGGGACGAGGGACAGGGCCTTCTCGGTGGTGGCCCCTCGCCTGTGGAATGCACTCCCGGGGGAGATTAGGTCATCAACATCCCTCCTTGCTTTCAGAAGGAAGCTAAAAACCTGGATGTGAGACCAGGCCTTCGGGTAAGCTGGCAGATGGACAAAGACAACCAATGATGACCAGAGTAGGAAAGGATAATGACGATGCTAGACCGATTACGGACTATGAATTGGCGAACATTGACCACAAGATGATTTTATTGCTGCTGATTGAAGCACTCCAAATAAATAAATAAATAAATAAATAAGGAGGCCCAGTGGTCATGCCTGAAGTAGCTCTCTTGGTCACTTGTTAATGTCATGTGACTTGGTAGTAATCTTTAAATATCTCTCCACAAGATGTTCTAAAAATGCTGAATTAATGAGATCAATGCTTTTCACGGAAATGATAATATTAAATTGCTGTACTGCACTCTTGAGGGTTCAGTGAGCTTCAGCTGCCCTGTATATTAGGTCAGGTCATTTTGCAGAGTATGGCCAGAGTCCAAGAAAATTCTCTGCAGCTATCAAGTTATCCCCTCCCTTCACGGCATATTCTTTCCACTGGATAAAGAACACCTATCTATCTATACACATAACAAAAGTGAAAAATGTGTATGTGGCGGAGGTGTCCACTTACACAGATAGCCTCCTGCCTCCACAAACGGACTGTAGTTCCAACTGCTGAGAATCCTCCAAAGGCATTACCTCCACTGACATTGCAGGTTAGAGCAAGCACCATGAACATGTCACCCAAACCCTGCCAATGCCCTCCCTAAACACTATGACCCACCACCCAAAGAATGCTTTCATTTGGGAAGAATTTCATCCTAGATTTGACATGTTTCCTCCACCACAGGCAGGCATCCCAGGGTTCCTTGTGTGGAATTTGCATGACACCCCCCCCCCACTGTCTCCCCCTTAACCCTTTCCTACCCTTTCCTATGGCACACAGCAAACACAGAGGAATTGCTCAACAATTGAACAGACTGGAGGGATTTGAAAGACTGAGTTGTAGTTCACCCTGCATCAAGGCAGAGCATTGTGAAAACTTTCAATAATGGACCTGGGCCACCTTTGGCAAGCAGAACTCCCATGACCAGGTTTAGGGGAATTGACCCTAATTTATAGGGGTTGTAGTTCACTTACATCCTGGGAGCACTGTGAACCCAGCCAACAATGGATCTGGACCAAACTTGGCATACAGACCTAACATGGCAAACCGTGCATACTGGCAGTGTTGGCCGTAATTTTTCTGGGAATCTGGGAGTTGTACTTCACCCATATCTAGCTATCCCTGAACCCAGCTGATATCAGATCTGGACCACACTTGGCACACAGACTTAACATTACCAACTTTGAATAATGGCAGGGTTTAGGAAGGATTGACGCACGACTCTGGGAATTATATCCTAGTCATATTTCAAATGTTCATGCTCAGCATTATTTTTTAAATTTTAATTATTACATTTGGACCAGCCATAGGTTTTTAAACATCGTTGTGTTACTGTTAATGTTTAGTGCTTATTTTTTGTTATGAGTTTTATTTTATTGTTGTATTACTGTTGTTATTGTTTTATTACTGATGTATTGTGGGCTCGGCCTCATGTAAGCTGCACCGAGTCCCTTGGGAGATGCTAGCGGGGTATAAATAAAGTGGTGTTGTTGTTTTTGTTATTATTATTATTATAATTATTATATAGTTCACCCACATCCTTATGCATTTTCTATTGGGAGCAGTCATAAACAACAAAAGGAAAGAGTGACTTTTTTTCCTAATAAATAGGGTTATATATTACCAAACTGATATTACCAAACCTCAAAAAACAAACAATGCCTTTCTCACTCCTGGGTCCCCAAGCTAGTCTGAAATAAAAATGAGAACTAGTCTACTATAACTACTATGGGGACGGATGTTCCTTGCATCTAGGAGATTCTAGGTTCAGTTATTGGATAGTATATGATGAAAAAGAGCCTTGTATGGGACCATGAAATGCTGCTGCAAGTCACAAGTCAGTCCTCTGGTTTGGTACAAGACAGCTTGATATATCCCAGCCTCAAATATTTGTACCATGTCAGGTTCCCATTTCCTAAATGGTTTCATCATCAATGTTAATCTACATAATGGTTACTCTATAAAGTTCTTTGAAATAATAATGGGATAGGTTTGTTGTTGTGTACCTTCAAACTGTTTGAACCTAAGGTGCCAAAACAGAGTTTAATTGGTAGGATTTGTTCATAAGAGGTTTGTCGTTGCCTTCCTCTGAGGCTGAGAGAGTGTGACTTGTCCCAGATCACCCAGTGGGTTTCATGATCAAGCAGGGATTTAAACCATAGTCTCCAGAGTTACAGTCTAATCCTCAAGCCACTACACCGGGCTGTCTGTCTAGGGAAGGCATGTTCAAATTGTGGTCCTCCAGCTGTTTGGCCTCCAATTCTCAGTAGCCTTAACCAACTTGTTCAATGGCCAGGAATTCTGGGAGTTGGAGGCCCAAACAGCTGAAGGGCTGCAATTTGAAGATGCCTTCTTTAGGGCAAAAGAGAACTCTGGTTCATCGATAATACAGACATAGCATGTCTCTACCGGCAGGTGTCTCTCTTCAAACATGAATCTCTAGCTCAAAATTTCATCTGACCTTGTGCTGTGCTTCATCTCTTCCTTCAATTTAAAACACTGATCATGCGTTTATTCAGGATCTTGCAGATATATGGGGTGAAGGATACTTATCTTGTTCAATGCTAGATCATGTTGAAATAAATCTAAAACACCACTATCAGTTTTAAACTCAGAATGCTGGACTTTATTCATTTTTATGTTGGTCTTATTTTATGTTGCCAGGCTTCCTTTTTCCTTAAAAGATGATGAAGAAAACAACCAATTCATCCTTGATCTTGCAGTGTACAGGTTAGACTTATTCACTCTTTCCCCCCGCCTCTGTTTAGTCTACTTTTAGACACCACTGAATGTTACGGGTTACTCTTCATCTGGCTTTTCATTCACATTTTCCTTTCCACAATTTTTGGGATTAAGTTGGTAATGTGCGATAATCTGGATGAAAATGTACAACTCTGCCAGTAGGTCACTAAGCATTTTTCTTAATGAGACAAAATACTAGCACTTTGGGGGGAAAATTGTAGATAGATAGATATCGATACACACATATACCATGTCTTATAGACAGAAAAATTCCATCGATGAGACAGTAATCACACATCCTACTGTTATAGTCCTAGTATCACAGAATCATAGAACCATAGAGTTGGAAGACACCTCGTGGGACATCCAGTCCAGCCCCCTGCCAACAAGCAGGAAGATCGCATTTAAAGCACCCCCAAAGAAGTAGCCTTCACCACACTCCGGGGCAGAGAGTTCCACTACTGAACAGCTCTCACAGTTAGAAGGTTCTTTCTAATGTTCAGATGGAATCTCCATTCTTGTAGTTTGAACACATTGCTCCGCGTCCTAGTCTTGATGGCAGCCGAAAACCAGCTTGCTCCCTCCTCCCTATGACTTCCCCTCACATATTTATATCTGGCCTTCATCATGTCTCCTCTCAGCCTTCTCTTCTGCAGGCTAAGCATGCCCAGCTCTTTAAGCCGCTTCTCATAGGGCTTGTTCTCCATACTCTTAATCATTTTAGTTGCCCTTCTCTGGACACATTCCTTTTGACCTCCTCTGCCTGTCTCCCATTTATTTATTTATTTATTTATTTTCAGGATAAGAGATACAATCTAGTTTGGCCATTAATGTGAGGCTACCGATCTAAAGTTTGCAACAGGTCTGACCATAAGCCAGAATAGTTTGCTTATCTTACTAAAGCCATAAACATCTCATGTGGTTTTATGCAAACTCCACCCCAACCCATGGTGACTAAACTCAGCTGTTTCTTCTGAAATTGCATCTTGTGTCTTTCTTTTCATTTAGTTTCATAATTACCTTCATTTTCAGTATGTTGCTGTCTGATTAACATGTATGAAGCTCTCAATTATGGGTCAAAGAGATTTCAGTTATGAATATTGGAAGTTCCTTTAATATGTATCTAATATGTCCTGGTCAGTTAGATTGTTGGGTAGTTAGGAATCCTCAGTAGAATTAAAATTTATATATAACAGTGGTTCCCCACCTGTGGGTCCCCAGGTATTTTGGCCTACAACTCCCAGAAATTCCATCCAGTTTACCAGCTATTAGGGTTTCTGGGAGTTGAAGGCCAAAACATCTGGGGACCCGCAGGTTGAGAACCACTGATAGATAAGAAACAGCAGTGGGCAATTTTTAGTGAAAACAAAGCAGGAGAGAGGAGGAGAAGGAAATTGCTAAGGAGAGGCAGACAATGAATTTAGTTCTGCTGAAGGACAGAAATAGTTAGCCCTATGTAGATGTGAACCCTATAAGCAGTATCTCCTTGCTTTTTGTCACTTTTGTCAACATATTAGTAAATTAAGCCAGTATTAGTGTGACTGAGAACCATAGCTTTTCATTAATCTTTCCCCCTAAGTTTTGGTTCCTATTGCAAAGACTTTTCAGTACTGTTCCTACAGTGAACTCTTTGATATCCATCACCCCAATAAATTGTTTAGTTAATCTCTAAAGCAGTGGTTCTCAACCTGTGGATCCTCAGATGTTTTTGCCTTCAATTCTCAGAAATCCTAACAGATGGTAAACTGGCTGGGATTTCTGGGAGTTGTAGATTTCTGGGAGTTGTAAACCACTGCTCTAAGGGGACTACTCAAGAGCTCTTTGTTGTCATAAGCATTAAATAAGTCCAAAGAGAAAAAGCACTTGATCCAATGTTTTTGAAGATAAAATGCAAACATAGCAGTGACTTTTTTTGAGACCAACTGAAAAACAAAAGCTTCCGAACTTTCAAATAAGCTTTTGAAGATTCATTGGCATCTACACCAAGCAAATATATTAGAAGTCATATAGGGGAAAAAAGGTGAGAACGTTAAAGTCACAAGCCCACATTTGGTCTCTTATGTTACTTATATGGTCAGTTAAGTTAGCCTGGATCAGTGTGAGCATAGGTTGCTCCCTTCTTGGTCTTATGGGGACTGGGGATAAAGAGCAGTAAAATACAGACCATAACATTTCATATCCATGAGCACCAGCAGCATAGGAACGTGCTTAGGGAACTAGCCATGCAAGCTTAACTGCTCCTTTCTTAGGCAGTCCACTGAATTTCTCAAGAAATCTCTGTTCTGTTAAATCTGGAAAATGCTTAGGTGTTATATAGGTGAAACTTTTTTACTTTTAGTTGGGATCTCAGTCCATTAACACACTCTCTTTTTAGTTTCCACTGTTTTGGCAAAAAAAATATAATATCTTCAAATCAGGGAAACATCAGGAATGACATGTTGGCCATTCAGCAAAATGCAACAAATCAAAAATCCACAAAACAGTTGGGTCAACTAAGATGCACAAAATAGATAATGCAAACTTTTAAAGTGTCACTGGCTTCTTCATTAGGACAAAGGTGTTAAAAATCATTCAGGAGAAGAAAAGTGATACTGTTAGATTCCTTGTGACTTACCATGGGGAGAATGATATAGCATTATGTGCACAGCCTTCTGAATTGCACTGGTTGATGGCTGAAACACCATATCTTTTGATAAGTGGGAGGGAAGAGAAAAACCTTAAAGTTAACAGACTTTTTTAATCCTAAAGATATCTGGACACTTCCCTCCTTGATGTTGATGTACAGCCTACTTATGTGCGAGTAATGATCAAAGGAAAGGTTAGTATGTTTTAGTTATTGATACGATTTTCTGATTGTGTCCCATCATTTAGTTTGGAACTTGACTGTCTCTGCTAATGTAATGGTTCAGTGAGTTGTGTGGCGGCTTCTAGGTGGAATGGCATCATGTAGTTTTTTTCTGGCATAAGGAGTGCTGGTGGAAATTATATGGGGAAGAGTGAGAAACAGGGATGAAGGCAAATGAATTAAATGACATGAAATCAATGAAAACCATTCAAAAATGCAGAAATAGTTCATTGAACAGACTTTCCTGGGTGACCCTGCTTGGGAAACAACATAATTAAATGTCTTCTAGAGTAGATATTGATAAGGTATTGGTGAAAACACTGTTGCTATTTCAAGGAACTCTCTAATATTAAATTTCATTTGGAGTTCAAATGAAATATTGGGAAGAGCAGCTTCCCTGTTGTCCTTCCAGTGATTTGCCAGTGAGCCACCTGGGAAGAGGTGGGGAAATAGATAGAAGCATACATAGCCCCAGGGTTGACCACACTTTAGTTTTCTTGTTATCTTCAAAGTTGGGTGGCTATATGCAAATATTGTTGTTGTTCATTCGTTCAGTCGTCTCCGACTCTTCGTGACCTCATGGACCAGCCCACGCCAGA